TCATTCTGTCTCTATAAGGAAGTAACTTTTCATTTCTTCCTTGAAGATTTTATTTTTAAGTAACGTCTACACCCAACGTGTGGCTCGAACTCACAACCCCAAGATCAAGAGTCGCCAGCTCTACCCCCTGAGCCAGCCAGGTGCCCCAACGTTGTCACAAATTAACCAAAGTCACGGCTGACACTTTTTTCATCCATGATATTAATGAAATCTTAGGTCAGGCATATGAAAGCTTTAGTAGAAAAATGGATGTCTCTTTTAAAGATTTTATTTTTAAGTCATCGCTACACCCAGCGTGGGGCTTGAACTCACGACCCCCAGATCAAGAGTCAGGTGCTTCACGGACTGAGCCAGCCAGGCGCCCCTGGATGTCTATTTTAAAAACTGCCTAATACTGTCTAATATAAGAGAATACAAAGTGCCATAAGAAAATATATGTTTAATGGACTACATTGAAGAAAACGAAAAATCCATTTATGAGGGTTTTTTTGTTTTTTTGTTTTTTTTCCCATTAAAGGAAATGAACAGCCGGGAAGTGCAGCTCGTTCCTGAGAGCCTGAGCACTAATGAGATAAAATAAATGAAATAGAAGTCTCACAGTTTCAGGGAAGCCTCCTCCGTCCTCGTACATCCCTCGCTCTCCCCGGGTTGCCACAGTGGATCCCGCTGTGTCGTGGGACACCATCGGGCCCATACGGCCACAAGTGTGCGTAGGCATGCTGTCCCTTCCACTGGGCTCAGAAGGCACATACAGCAATGCGTGCGTGAATGCCTGCAAAGGCTGAGCTCACGGGCTGCGGCTTTTGGTGCAGGGATTCACACACCAAAAGGAAAGCCTGAGACCTAACATATATCCCTCCAGTGGCTGCGGTCTATCCACCTGCCACACGCGTCACAGCAGAGGGCAAGAGCCGTCCTTCTCAAGGTTAGCTGAAGGACGAGCACATCCTTAGCAGGCCCTCGCTGCAAAATGCCACAGCCCATGTCACCATGGTGTCGGCCCTTGATATTTTATTTCTGACCCTTTAGATCCCAAGTCTGACGATCAGACAGGGAAAGGCTTCCGGCGGAATGAGTCACGAAGACGAAAGCCAAGCACAGCCCTGCTATCCTGGTTAACCGTCAACCCATGGAGACATAAGCAGCTGTAAGTAGGATATTCTCTCTTCTTAGGTGTAGTTCAGAGGCAAAATTAATTTGTTAACTGTGTGGAAAATTTAGATGGTCCACAAAGCGAGCATTTTTCTTTCCTTAACCACGGTCATGCTGTCTTGATTTTAAACCTTACTTATCTCTTGCATAGGTATGGGAAACAGAAAGGAGTTAAAGAAATCTGCATATTCATTACAGAAATTCTAATAATAAACAAGATTACATAATCGAGAAAGAATAAACCTTCCTCATTCCCTATTTTGGAAAGTAGGCACCTTTTAAAAAGTTGGATATGAACACATTTCTTGAGAAGGAATTCTATTATCCTACAGCATTTTGTTCTGATTTTTTTTTTTTTTTAGTCACAGATAAAAGTTTCCAGAAAACTTGAACTGAAAACGTAGCTGGATTTGTGAGGCCCTGTGGGTTCAGCAACAGGATAACCACATCCCGTGGATTTTTGTGTGACCAGCCTGCTGGGGGCTTTCACACATTCACATGAACATTTATTTTATATGCTATAGTCAAAAGCTTGAAAATCGGTAACAGAATCCTAGAGCCAAGTAGGTACCTGCTTTCTAAGATAAATTTTATCCATAAAACCAATTTGTCATTACGCTGAATTTTTAATACCACTGATTCATATGCCCAAACTTAAACCCAAGACTTATAATGCACATCGAACACTCCATTTTAACTCAAAATTCCCATTTTAATGCAAGAAAACTTACGCATGTTCTCATAATGTGTTTGTAAGTTCTTTTCACAATGTAATGAGAGTAATGATACTCACTCATGATTAAATTATGTCATTCAACTTGCTGAGACAACTAAATTATAAAATTATTATAATTACGGATTTATTAAATTATAGAGAAGACACTGTATATAGCAGTTAAAAGGGATTCATGTTTCAAAAGGGTGGAAACAGAATTGTAGCTCCAAGTGTTTGGAAAATAAGTATTTAATAAGTCCGGAACACTCCGGCCTCCAACTAATCAGGACAAATGGTAACTGGACCTTAACATTTGCGGTCAGGTCTAACGTACCAGCACCAGTAACCTGCTGCTAAGCCAGCGCTCTCTGAGGGAGGAACAAAGCCCGGATTTGCTGTGTCTGCTCATTCCCGTGGGGTAAATATGCCCAGCATGGACTGACTTGAAGTTAGCCATGGTTTAACGGCACACGGGGAAGATTCTCGACCAAGCGGGAGCCGGCTCCAACACACCCCTACCTGCGACTAAATCCTGATCCTATATTTTCTTTTCTTAAGATTTTATTTATGTATTTGAGAGAGAGAGCAAGAGAGAGAGCATGAGCGGGGGGTGGGGTGGGGGGGGGAGACTAGAGGGAGAAGCAGATTCCCCGCTGAGCAGAGAGCCTGAGGCAGGACTCGATCCCAGGACTCTGGGATCACAACCTGAGCCAAAGGCAGACGCTTAACCAACTGAGCCACCTAGGTGCCCCTGTTTTCTTTTCTCTCCTTTTCCTCCCCTGTTTTCTTTTCTAATAACATATTGTGAACTCAGGTGCAACCCTCTTATCTTTAAGACTTATGGACAGTGTCCCAGCACCCAGTAGAGCGATCACCGGCAATCTCCTCCCAAAGTAGATCTGCGATGATCTCAGCCGACCTACCCAACTAGTACTACCCAAGTCCATACGGACGAGAGTCCACTTCCCCCACGCACCTCTGCATTCCCAGCATTTGACCCCGCTGGCCGTGCATCATGGTCTAGGCTGTAACCAGCTGCCCGGCAGGGCATTTGGTCTGTTTTGCTCACTGACAGACACTCATCCTAGCATGGAAGGTGCCCCATAGCAGGTGCTCAAAAATATTTGTAGAATAAATAAATAGATGCAGTACTGGATAGACACTCCCAAAGCCATGGGAGATCGTGGACAAACGCCGTTACCGAGTTTCAGATATAACGTCAAAGCCAAGTAAGAGATGGGTCATAAAAACCATGGTGTGTCATGACCTCTTAGCTGGATGGATGCCTCCAGCACTGAAATACCGCCCTGTCTCCTTTCCTGTTGCCGGTTCAAGGCAGCAGATGTTCAAGAATTGCACAGGAGGAAATGTTACTTGGGTGTGTCTGAGAAGCAAATTTTAGCCCAGCTGCCTGTCACAATCTGGGTCTTGTTTTTCTCACGTACTCTTATTTTCTGTCTCTCTCTGTCCCTTTTGTCTTTCCTCCTCCACAGAGTGTGTTTCTCCAGCCCCTGATCCAATATGTTCCTTCGGCTTTTCCGACTGGCGGTCATGGGGGGGGGCGGGGGAGTGCTGGCTTTACAGAAATGCGGTTCCATGAGGTTCCGGACATGCTATCGCATTTCTTTAATCAGCCAAGAGTCACAGAAACTTCATTCTGTGCATTTACGGCTCCGTGTAAACACAAGCGGGAAGGAGGACACCTCCCATTCATTGGAAGACTCACACCCGACTGTGTCGATTATTCTGAACAAGAAACCGTTCCCTATGGATGTTTGGAATTACAGACACACTGATGAGATCAGTATAAAGAACGCTTCCTGGTCTAGAACCTTAAACTCATGCTTCTCTCATATTTATCTTCTGGAAAACATTGCAAGGAAGCCACCCGGGTTTAAAGTAGAAACTCTGAAGGGTAAACCTACTGCGATTTCTGTGGTTAATGGAAGGGTTGTGATTTTCCACTTTAAACAGAATCGTGAGGCTGCTCTTGAAACAAGCCCTTGGCGAACTGGCTGGGTGTGCAGGGTGGGAAGTGGGAGGTGTGGAAAACCAGCATGAACATCATCCCGAGTTCAACAGTGAGCCCTCAGGTGGGGGGTCCAGCAGAGTATAGCCTCCCGGAGCAGGACCCAAAGCACAACACAGAAAAAGGGGAGTTTTCTTCCACCTCCGAAGATGAAACGGGAAGTCCCTCCTCGACATCTACCTGCCGCAGGTACAAGCCTGGCAGGAACTGTTTTCCACACACTCCCACGTCTCTTCACGATCTGAACATCACTACGATTCTAAGTTTAAAGACATGGGGAAAAAAAAAATCTAAAGCCTATCCCCGCACCGAGGATTATCGCTCGGTTGCATTTGCTCCTTTATGCCTGGGACAGATACAACCCCAAACTGGTATCGGAAGACCCAAACGCCATCCTGATTTGGGTAGAGTGCATGGTGCAAAGAACACCCAGTCTGGGACGTACGAGGACCTTGAAGCATTTGAACTGAACGTGAAAGGTCTGAATCTGGCCCAGGCCCCGCCATGGCTGAGGCTTTGGAGAGAAAGTCACAGAAACATCTAAATGCCATTCTGCTTGACAGCACAAAGCTCCAGGAGGGCACAAAGCGCTAGAGAGAGGGCACCGGGGTGGTGTTTCAGGGGGGCACTGGACGGCAGGCGCTGCTAAGCTGCTAAGCATTCCCCAAAAGGCAAGAGAAGGAAAGTCCTTCCAGGCAGAGGATGCACAAACACAAGTCGTGTGCCCCCTAAAGAGGAACGTTGGTTTGGCTCCAAGTCACAGCGAGAAGGGACTTGTGCTACGGGCTTGAAGCTGGGCAGCCAGCCAGCAGGCCATGAAGGATGGGGACCACCATGCCCCAGCTGCAACCTGGGGCTTCCTCTGCCTAGGAGGAAGAGCCACTCGCAAGTCAGGGCCAGGGTCCGCTGATGTCGTGCCTGGACTGTGGCAAGACCAGAAGGAACAAGACAAGTCACAGGAGGAGGAGCTCGAAGCGAAGCACCGTGACATGCGGACGCATCCCCCAGCCTTTACAGAGCAAAGCACTCTTGCCACCATCTCATCTCCTTGCACGGCCCCAGTGGCGGACATACTAGAATCATGGAAAGGTCTGTTTTACTCACTATTCCGAGGGCTCCAGCGCACAGCGTTTAAGTAGAAGTTGCAGTAATGGAAGAGAAACTCATGATCGGAGAGTAGGGTCTTCCCTTGAAGCAGCGGCATGAGGTCACGTCCATCGATGATTCTGTAGGACAAATGTTAGACAGGCATCAGCTGGGGAATGGCCACATCGTCTTTGGGCTAAATCGCCCCAACCTTTGACTTGTCCTTCCAGCAAATGAGAGCATGAGAGAGTCACCTAGTTATAATCCAGCAACCAACACAAAGAACACTCACTGACCCGTCGGGCACCATATGCAACTTCATGAAGCCAATTCTGCTCTTGCATGAACTCATTTAATCCTGCACCATGAATTGGGACCATTATCATCCCGTGGTGATGAGTTGAGGAGACATCAATCAGAAAGCGTACATGACTTACCCGAGGTCATGGGACTGGGACCAGCTCATGGGATGCAAACCCAGCTGATTATTGGGTATCGGTGCTCTCTACTGCTCTCCCTGCTGCTCATCCTAAACCCAACTTCTGCCTATTGCCTTGACACAGAGGAAGCTTCACTCACAAAGTACATAGCTCTATGGAAAATAAGAACATCTAACAATTTAGCTGACAAAGAGGTAATATAGAGCATGGGCACAACTTGGATTGGATACACGTCCGTGGAAGCACATGTCTAAATCACAATGAACTAATTTGTGAATAAATACTAATGACAATGATACTAAAAACCCTCTGGATGCATTGTTCCCAGATGCAAATATCTCTTCCAGGCCTGCATGTGTAAGTAGACCAAGGGGAACTTTCCAGACTGCAAACATTTGATAATATCCAATTGGTTATGAGCAAAAGCAGATTATTAGGCATTTAAAGAAAGGAAAAATGTACATTAAGAGCCACTAGACCAACGGAAGCCATAGATACCATCAGGCCCCATCATTAAAACTAGGGACACAGAGCAACTTTGAAGGAGTCAGATGGTCTCACCTGAGGATTATCTTCCTCTCATTAAAAACACGCCATCCCTATCATCCCTTATTATGAGGAATTTAGAAACTGGAAGGCAGAGTTGGCTATATAATTTGGGTTAGCATTCTTGAGAGGCCCCACGTCCCTCAAGCTTTGTGTGTGGTTTATTTTGGTGTCCCTAAAACCCCCATCCTATAATTACAGCCCTGTTGCTTAGCACTTCTCTGGCCCCCACCCTTGTTATTAATCTCGAGCTCCACAGAAGCCTACAGACTGAAAATATCCTACTATTGTGAGCTAAAAATAAGAACAAAAGGCAGACTTGGCCCCCTTCCCAAGCCCCCGCTTCCGTTCGCCATGACAGGAGGAGGAGGAAGCAAGGTAGAGAGACGCTTCTTTTGAGAAACGGTATGCTCTCTGAAATACTCTTTCTATCCCGAAATGGCAGTCATTGTGCTTTGGTCCTTTCAAATCCCTTTCGAGAAAGACTCAGTCCGTACTAATATGCAATCCTGAATAGGGTGGAAAGAAAGAAAGTGGTGCACTAGAGTGAGAAGGTGTAAGTATCTGAAGAGGAAAAGTCCCAAGCGGTGAAAAATGACCCAGAGGAGGGGACAGAGGGATGCAAAACGGCCCCCCCCCCACCCCGGGACCTCTATCTCATGTGGAGAGCAGGCCTTTCCAGGACCATTCAAGATGGAGAACCCATCTTCATTCCCAGGACACAATCTCTACCTCTATTTCCTTGTGCTTTAGGTGTAGACCTAGAACTCATTTTTTTTTTTTTAATATCTTACACCTAACGTGCTCATATTCTTAGAAGCGGGCAGTAAATCACACGGCCATGGAGAGCCACCATTGAAGAGAGCTACAGAAATATGACCTGTCAAAAGGGGCTCGTTTCTGCCATGAAAAATGGAAAGGGACCCTTACTTGAGCTCAACTTTTAAATGGTGTCCAAGCCATCAAAACACTTGGGATTGTTTTAAATCGCATGTGTGAGTCACAGTTAGCCGTGGCCATAATCCGAAGACAGCACATGACCCCTGACGTTGCCCGTATGGAAATGTTCCCATAACGTCACAGCCTGGGGCACCGGGGCCGAGGTTCTCTCAAAGTGACGTGAAGCCAAATTCCACATTCCTCGGACGTGGTGTTGAATTTGGAGAGTGAGGCAGGAATATTCCCCATGGGCTCCTGTCCCACGACACGGTCATGATTTCAAGCATTCATTTCCAAGCACTGTGCATTTCAGAATGTCAGGTCAAATTAAATACCGTGGGGATGACCTTCACATCATTGCAGAGAGCATGTTTTGGGAACGTGCCCGGGCTACAGTGACCCTCATCCCCCCGTGAATGTGCTGGCCTCTCTCTTAGCTCCGAACCAGTGAATCGTCTGCCCGAATGTCCTTGCCTCTGCCTGGCCGGCTCTCAGAAGGATTTGGGGATCATATGACTAGAGAAAGCTTTGGGGGTGAGGGGACAGAGAAGAGACGGTTTTGGGGGACTGACAAAGAGGTTAATTTGGGGCACAATGTTTATGAGCTACCTGTGCAATATTCAAAATAAAGTGATTTCTTCAATGTAGAAAGTTTATCTTTCATAAACTAAGGAAAATCCCAAGAAAACAGAAAGATATTTTCATAAAGGAAACCCCAAGTGACCAGAAAGTTATAACCTAAAAAACACCTCCCTTCGTACATATTAAACTCACTGCCTAACTTGAACATAAAGTAAGGTCAGTCATAAGTGGTGGTGCATACATGAAGAGTTTCACCTTTTATTCTGCAAAATGCAGAGGAATTAGTTTTATTTGTAGGACTCTACTGAAATACTCCTCTAGAGCTATCGGGCAGCAAAATTAAACAGGGGAATGAAGTCACTCCCCTTGTCTTCATTACACAAAACTGGTATCAAGCATTCAAGCACTGATTTCCTTTCTTAACTTGAAAAAAAAAATCACATTTTAATTTTATTTTCTTTATGGGAGAGGAGACCTAAGTATTTCACCTTCTGTAAAATGTGATTCTCAAGGATGTTGGCACCCCCCTTTTCTTCCCGCCCAGCCAAATCATCTCTGGCCAGAATATGGATGGTTTCCAAAGGTTTAACCAATTAGGGCGTGGTGCAATTCTTCATCACCAACATCTGTGGACGAGGAGCATCGTCATAGGCTTCCTCTGACAATATTCTATCTGCTTGCAAAGATGTGACTGATGGTAAGGTTTTTCATTTTTGGGAATTAATACATTTCATTATACATTCTTCTTATGTACATCCATGTTGCTTATGTTTAATATCACAAAAAAAAAAAGGTTGCCCTCCCTTTATTTCCAGAATCAGCTCATTTGGAGACAGAGGGGGAAAAATTTTTTCTGAACACGCCTGAGATAATGGCCACCAAAATTCTTTTGATAAACTGTGCCGCTGAACGCAAATGGATCAGTGAAGTTATGTGTGAAGGAAAAATTCACGGCAGAGAGGAATCTCATGCGGGCTCAGCACGGGGTCGAATGAAAGAATTATTCTCCCAGTAGCACTGAGACTCTGCTGAACGAGTATCTCTTATGTGTATCCCCGGAGCCCTGCTCTCTTGACTGAAGTAGAAACCCTGCATGGAAGGGCTTCTCATCTCCCACCGAGCTCTGATTGGTCAGGAAGGCCACCCACCAGACTCAAAATGGTTCTTAAGAATGACAAGGTTGTACCTGAAGGCTAGGGGTCTTTTGAATAGAAATCCTCCTGATCCCACAAAACACACAGAAAGATGTGAGGGCACCTCATTAAGTCCTCGTCAGACAGCTTGGGGTTCGACCCTTCAAATGAGTTTATTCTCCTGAGAAATGCAAATTTAATACTGCTCATGCAAGAAATCAGGGAAGCTGACCTCCACCAATCTTTGTGGGCGAGAGTTAAGGTTATCTTCTGAAGAATAGATATTGTGAATCATTTGTAGATGGATATACCTATGGGGATGTTGTCCAGATGCTTTCATTGAAAAGTTTTGATGATGTTAATACACCATAACAATGTTTTCCATAAAAGAGCAAGAGTGAGCCTGAGAGCAGAATCTGTCAACCCCAGCACTACTAATATATTAGGCTGAATTATCTTTAGTTGTGGGAAGCTGTCTTGAGCTTTGTAGGATGTTAAGCAGCATCCCTCTCATTGGGATGCCAGTAACACTGAGTTAAGACAATCAAAAATATCTCAAAGACATGGTCCATGGGCCCTGGGAGAAAGAGTCACCCCAGTCACCCCAGTGAGAATCACCAAGTTAGATGTTCCCAGTCTCAAGGGCAGGTATATGAGGATGTTTTCTGGACCTGGTTGGTAACACGATTTAAATCAGACATTTTGGGACTAATTTTATTTCCCTGAAGGATGTGGACAACGCAGTTCTGTTTCCTTCTCTGTGCGGTCTCCGGGATGACGGTAGCATTCTCTGGGGCCTTACAGCTCCACCCAGAGATAGCATCGTTGCATTGAGCTGGGTCAACACACATCAGTGAGATCCATGAAAAGCATCTTCTATATTGCAAAGGCGGTTCTTACCAATGTCTTGGCTCCCACATGAAATATTTTGGGCCTGCCGAAGAGGGAGGCCGCTTTTTTCTTCAGTGGGCACATACAATGAAAACAGACTGACCTCCATGAGCCTCAGACTGGCGTGGGCAGGAGGCCGGAGCCACAAGATTTCCCTCCGCAGATTTTCCTCTTTGCCTCTGACCTTTCCCTTCCCTTGTCTTTCCCCGATTGCATCAAAGCCCATTTAAAGATACCGTGAAGGCAAAGCCAGTGCTGATTTTAAGATTATGAGCCATGAGAAAAAAAGGTCATTAATGAAATGGCCTGAACACTCTGTGTGCACTACTTAAGGAGACACTAAGTGTTACTCCAAGGCTAAGAACAAGGGCCCATGAGTAGATGAGACAGAGCGTGAGATTTCTGGCTTCACATAAGGTAACACTTTTTATGACTTCCTGCTGTCATGTTTTCCGTCTGTCACTGAGGTAGCAAAGGACTAGTTTGACCAGAGTAAATCCTAAAAGTGCCCTTCAGCCCTCCCCCTTTAGGATCCTATGATCCCGGATGATCGTTGACCGTGGAAGAAGAAAGAACTGCACTGATGTACTTCTTCCCTCTCAATGTGGCAGGAAACCCGACGATGGCCACCATTCATGCACTTACATGCTCTCCTGCTCTCAGTCTTCCCAGGAAGCCTGCAAGGTCAGTGCCCTGACCGAAGCCACGTTCCAGATGAGGAATCAAGGCCCACGAAGTGAAACACAGACCCAGCGGGGAAGCCAAGATCAGAACCCAAGCAGGATCCCTGCTCTTAGGCACAGTACCAGACGCTCTTAGAGTGTGGCCCAGAGACCCACAGGGACCCCCAAGACCCTTCCACACGGCCCACACGGCCAATACTGTTTTCATGAGAATACCAAATGCTCTCTGCCTTCTGAGCTACCGCTCCTGCAGGAGTGCACAGTGCATTCTTCCAGTGGATTCACGGCGGGTGATGACATCATCACTGTCCGCGGATGCAAGGTGCACTTGGGCACTCGTGTGTGTTCAGAATTTTTTCAGGTTTAAGGTCTCCTACGATAAATGTTGACAGACATAAGGCACACATACAAAAGGTCTTTGGGTTCCTCAATGACAGAAGAAGTACATGGGTGTTGAGACTGCAAGGTTTGTGAAGGGCTGAGCTGTCCAATGTTGCCTAGTCTCTAGCATGTGCGTGTGTGTGTGTGCTGGGGGCGGGGGGAGATACAACTACAGAACAAACTTCAAAACAATAAGGAAACAATAAACGATAAAACGAGCTTAAAAGCAATGGGAAATGAGCAAACCTATCCCGGACTCAGTGCTGGCTGAGCTGCGCTCTCCTCTCTGTTTCCTGTTTCCTCTTCATTCTGCTGGCAGCTGAATTGAAACAAGATTTGCAGCCCCGCCTGACATTAGCCTGGCCTGCCACCAAACTAATGAAAACAATTAATCAGCATGGTTCACTAAAAACTCTTCAGATTGGTAATAACACTTAAGAAGAAACCATTGGCAATGTCATATGAAGTTGTATTTAAATTCAAGAGAAAGACGTTTCATTTAGAACTTGCTAAATGAAGACACACTGGGAGGGAGGGCCGTTAACGGGAGAACCAGCTGCCTTTCTTGCTGCCGCAGCAAAGAGCAGCTGAGTGGGACCCCAAGCAAAGGCAGGGGAGCCAAACATGGTGGGTCAAAGAGGTGGCTGCCCACCTGCCCTGTGACAGGCCCGTGGAAGGCACAGCCGGGACAGACAGGATCAGTAGGACGTTGAAAGTCGAAGACTCATGAGAGCCAACACAGACACCGCACCTTGCCGCTGATTTCCCACTGGGAGAATGGGATTGACGGCTTTTCTGCGTCGGCGGCCCCATCAGTGAGCCCCCTAACTGGACGTGGATAACAAGTCCATCTGGAGATAACAATGACGTCATGCAGGCAAACCAGAACACACTTGCCCCTGTGAGATCTGAATGACACAATACCAACTGCGTCTGAGTCACAGTACCTGTCCTTGGGCAGTGGAGATCCTGCGAGGTTGACCACCGTAGGAAATATGTCCATGTTGCTCGTTGGCTCGTCAATCTCTAGCCCAGCCTTTATCACCCCTGGCCACCGAAGAATGCCCGGAATCCGGATACCTCCTTCCCAGTTGTTTGCTTTCCCCCCTGGAAGACCAAAAAAAGAGGCAACAGGGAGACGTATGTCTTTTCAAAGCTTGCTTTAAGGCTCATTTCAGTATACTCTTCCAAATGTTCAGCATGGGGCGGGTGATTTGGAAGAGCCAAGTGCTCTAATTACATGGATTCAATAAAAATTTTGTGAGCAATACAGCATACATGGTGGTGAAAAAAAATACGACACGGTCCCTACTATGCACGGCACAGGCCAGCATCGCCTAGTGGTCACGAGCTATGACTGTCATCGGGGAAACTCAACTCTCAGAGTAAGAAAGGACTCAAGTCAATGACTATGGAGTCACAAAGATGAAATTCTATTTCTACTTTTGCCAGTGGACATGGGCACACCAAGAGTACCCCAAAATGCCCATGTCTACATCCTCAAAACCTGGGGATGTGGTACCTTTCATGGCCAAAGTGCTTAGGATTGTGGATTATATGAGTGGGTCCAGCGTGATCACAAGGGTCCTTAAAAGGGGAGGAGGGAAGCAGGTATACGGTATATCTTACAGGGGAACCATATCCCCAGGATAATCTGGAATATGACCCTGGGTTATCTGA